TACAGTATGTGTGTGCATGTAGGGTGTAGTATTGGTGTTTAAGTGTAGGGATGTGTTTATATATACTTTTTGAGTTTGAATTCAGGGGTGTGTTTGTATGTAATGTTTGCAGGGGTGTGGTTGTATGTTGTGTTTGATTGCAGTGATGTATGATATACATTCACAGCTATACATACACATTAGCACACTGATACATGCACACATCTGGACACATGCACACACTGACAAAGACTGGCTTATACACACACAGCCACATACATAAATACACGTGCACACACAGAGATAAAAACACTGGCACATCCACACACAGAGATACACACTTACACACACTGACACAGATATATACACAAATACATATGTATTTGTGTGCAGTGTTGGCGTAGGAATGCTGGGATGTATGCATTGTCACACAGATGCACTCTCACACAAACAGTGATACACACAGGAACACAGATACACATGCAGTGGTGTATTTGTGTGCATTGTTAATGTTGGAATGCAGGGTTGCATTTGTGTGCAATGTTAGCTGGGATGTATGAATTGCCCCACGCACAGATACACACTTACACATACTGACACTCATACACACACAGGTACATATAAACAGACAAGCAGGTACACATACAAACTGACACATAGGTATACATACACACAGATACACATAAACACTGACACAAAAGGTACATGTACACTGACACAAACACAGCCATATAAACACACACTGACACAAACAGCCAGATACACACTTACACACACACAGTCAGATACAGACACACACACACACATACACACACACACACAGTCAGACACAAACACAGCCAGATACAATCACAGCCAGCCAGATACACACACACACACACACACAGTGAGATATACACACACACACAGTCGGATACACACACACACAGTGCGATATACACACACACACAGTCAGATACACACACACACAGTCAGATACACACACACACACAGTCAGATATACACACATACAGCCAGATACACACACAGTCAGATACACACACACAGTCAGATACACACACACACAGCCAGATATACACACACAGTCAGATACACACACACAGTCAGATACACACACACACAGTCAGATACACACACACACAGTCAGATATACACACATACAGCCAGATATACACACATACAGCCAGATACACACACAGTCAGTTACACACACACACATACAGCCAGATACACACACAGTCAGATTACACACACACACACACAGCCAGATACACACACATACAGTCAGATACACACAGTCAGATACACACACACAGTCAGATACACACACACAGTCAGATACACACACATACAGCCAGATTCTATACACATACACAGCCAGATTTTACACACATACAGCCAGATACACACACAGTCAGATATACACACACACACACACAGTCAGACACACACACACAGTCAGATACCACACACACAGTCAGGATATACACACATACAGCCAGATACACACACAGTCAGATACACACACACACACAGCCAGATACACACACACACACAGCCAGATACACACACAGTCAGATACACACACACACACACACACAGCCAGATACACATACACACATACACAGATACTAATAGTACATACAGCCAGGATATACACACATACAGCCAGATACACACACATACACAACAGTCAGATACACACACACAGATACACACACACACACACAGTCAGATATACACACATACAGCCAGATTTACACACATACAGCCAGATTTACACACATACAGCCAGATACACACACAGAGTCAGATACACACACACACACACAGTCAGATACACACACACAGTCAGATATACACACATACAGCCAGATATACACACATACAGCCAGATATACACACATACAGCCAGATACACATACACACATACAGCCAGATACACACACAGATACACATACACACATACAGCCAGATACACATACACACATACAGCCAGATACACATTACACACATACAGCCAGATACACACACAGTCAGATACACACACACAGTCAGATACACACACACACACACACACACAGTCAGATACACACACACAGTCAGATACACACACAGCCAGATACACACACATACAGCCAGATACACACACATACAGCCAGATACACACACACATACAGCCAGATACACACACATACAGCCAGATACACACACATACAGCCAGATACACATACACACATACAGCCAGATACACACACATACAGCCAGATACACACACACACTGACACAAACACACACACACAGTCATATGAATTCACATAGTTTAGCCACCCTCCTTACCTCTACAGAAGTGTGGCTTCCCTGTGGTCCAGTGGGAGCTGGATGGCTGAGATTGATGGGAGTCTGCTTGTTATTGGTCTGTACCTCCTCCATGTATGCCTCCTCCTCCCCAGCGGCACTCTGTTAATTGGGAGGAAGTGACCTCACAACACTTCCTCCCAGCAGGCAGGAAGACCAAGGCCCGGTCTGCAGCTCTCTTAAAGGGCCGGGGCCCCTGATTACCTCACCTGCTGCAGCCCACCGGGATATTTCTCAGTATCCCGGTGGGCTGTTCAGACCTGGCTGCAGGCAGGGGGCCCACAGGGCAGCTGCTTTGGGCCCCCCAGGAGCAACTGGGCCCGGGGCAGCTGCCCTGTTTGCCCCTTGTTAAAGACGGCCCTGTGCCTACTAATGTGACCCAGCCTCACGCACATGAGCTCTTATTAGTGTAGGGAGAGGATGCTGCAGCTGTGAGGGACAGATTAGGAAAGAATTCTGGTGTTGAATTTGTAAACTACAACGATTATTCAAACTACAGCGATTATTCAAACTACAGCAATTATTTTTGTGGGTGCTATAATACTACATTTTTGTACCCTGCCCTGAGCCCAGTGCCACAGAGAGTACAATGCACTTACAGCTGCATGTGTGCCAGGCACATTACTTTAATCCTGTTCTGGTAGCTCAGTGGGCAACATCTGGGCATTTTTAAATACTGCAATTTTTTTTGGTGCTAAATAGTACATTTGCGTACTGCATTTCTTGCAGTCCAATAAAACCCTTAAATACTACTGTTACATTGTTGGTTTAAAAAAAATCTAACTTTTTGGTGCTAAATAATACATTTGCGGCCTGCGGTGCAATTTATACCTGTGAGTCAAATAGAACCGTCAAATACTGTGCTTATATTGCAATTTTAAAAATTCTAATTCTTTAGATCCTAAAAAGTCAATTTGGTGCCTGCACTTCATATCTGAGATTCAAATAGAACCGTCAAATATTGTGCTTTCATTGCAGTTTTAAAAATTCAAATGCTTTAGGTGCTAAAAAGTCAATTGGTGCCTGCAGTTCATATCTGAGAGTCAAATAGAACCGTCAAATATTGTGCTTACATTGCAGTTTTAAAAATTCAAATGCTTTAGGTGCTAAAAAGTCAATTTGGGGCCTGCACTTCATATCTGAGAGTCAAATAGAACCGTCAAATACTGTGCCTACATTGCAGTTTTAAAAATTCTAATTCTTTAGGTGCTAAAAAGTCAATTTGGTGCCTGCACTTCATATCTGAGAGTCAGATAGGACCGTCAAATACTGTGCTTACAGCGCATTTTTAAACATTTTAATTCTTTAGGTGCTAAAAAGTTAATTTGGTGCCTGCAGTTCATATTTGAGAGTGAAATAGAACCTTCAAATACTGTGCCTACATTGCAGTTTTAAAGATTCTAATTCTTTAGGTGCTAAAAAGTCAATTTGGTGCCTACACTACATATCTGAGAGTCAAATAGAACCTTCAAATACTGTGCCTACATTGCAGTTTTAAAGATTCTAATTCTTTAGGTGCTAAAAAGTCAATTTGGTGCCTGCACTACATATCTGAGAGTCAAATAAAACCATCAAATATTGTGCTTACATTGCAGTTTTAAAAATTCTAATTCTTTAGGTGGTAAAAAGTCAATTTGGTGCATGCACTTTATATCTGAGAGTCAAATAGAACCATCAAATATTGTGCTTATATTTCAGTTTTAAACATTTGAATTCTTTAGGTGCTAAAAAGTAAATTTGGTGCCTGCAGTTCATATCTGAGAGTCAAAAAGAACCGTCAAATACTGCTGTGACATAGCAGTTTTAAAAATTCTAATGCTTTAGGTGCTAAAAAGTCAATTTGGTCTCTGCACTTCATATTGGAGAGTCAAATAGAACCGTCAAATATTGTGCTTACATTGCAGTTTTAAACATTCAAATGCTCTAGGTGCTAAAAAGTCAATTTGGTGCCTGCACTTTATATCTGAGAGTCAAATAGAACCGTCAAATATGGTGCTTAAATTGCAGTTTTAAACATTCAAATTCTTTAGGTGCTAAAAAGTGAGTTTCATATCTGGTGTATGTGTGCAACACTGGCTAGTTACCGCTTCTCAAGAAAGTCTAAAGACTTTTTTAAAAAGTGAAAAATAAGTGTTATTGTGATCGCTTCCTATACAGAAACATTAATATACATTTCTATACTGTGTAAAGACACAACTACAAAGTTAAAAACCAAACACCAAAACAACGTGGAATGAAGGTCATGCAAGTGACGTGTGCAGTTTGGAGGAAGAGGCTCTGGTCGCACAGAGGCACCAACACAGCATAAGAGGGAGCAGGGTGCAAAAGTCCCCTAGCGCTCGTTGGCATGTATTATCTTTAGAATTCCCACAGTTATCCAAGTAACAGATGGAGCGATAAAAGGAACCATAACAGATTTAACGAGCCATTCGCAGTTTCACAGTCAGGGGGGCAGTCCGGTGACCGGGACCCAAACACTGTCTGGCCGGCGGTCGGATGACCAGGACCCAGTATGCCTGATGTTAAAGTTAGGAGTCACAGTGTGGAATGGATTAGTAGGGTCTGGTGCAGAGTAACCGCATGCCCCCTGGTGTTGAGCACCAGCGTTTGTGTGGCCACATACCAGAACCCTGATGCAGCTTCAGTGAGCAGCAGCAGGCAATAATGGAGTTTCAGCTGCAGCACGCACGGGTCAGTTGCTCTGCACCAGACTTGCCCTCCAATTGATCCAAGTTAAAGGATTTAAAGTGGACTCATTACAATTACAGGGCCTCGAAAGAGTAGTGTATTGTTATTTGTCATCACTACCTCCCCGCGTTGGGAGTGGGCCTGCTGCCTTCCTTGCATGTGGTAGCCGTTTCTCAGGCTCCCTCTCTGGAATCAAACCCTGATTCCCCGTTACCCGTGGTCACCATGGTAGGCGCGGAAAATTGCATCGAAAGTCGAAAGGGCAGACATCCAAATGCATTGTCGCCGTCATGGGGACGTGCGATCGGCACGAGGTAATAACAGACAAGCGCAGCTGCCTGTCCACGGCCAATGTGGACAAGCTCACGTTTATTAAAATGAACCAGGCATGGATCCCACCAGACTTGTCTGTACCTTGTGCAGAATAGACATTTATACCGGCCTCACCCAGCCATTGTTATACTCAAGTGCACTTGTACTTTTTTTTACATGTCCCAATATTTTGGGGGCTACCCCAATTAAAATAAATAAATAAATAAAAGACAATGTTGGCTACTTCCTCCTCCTCCCCCGCCGCCGCTTCTACCTACACCGCCATGGTGTATACCTAGATATATCAGAGCTGCTGCAGAAAGTGTGGGCCATCTGTGCGTACTTTTGTCGTTCTCACCCTGCTGCTGCAGCGTAACTTTGGCCTTCCCACTCACCGACTCATATGCGACGTGCCCACAAGATGGAACTCCACCTTAAACATGCTAGAAAGACTGTGCGAGCAGCAGCATAGAAACATAGAAACATAGAATGTGATAGTGATAGCAGGCGAGAGTGGAGCTTCAGCTGCAGCACGCACGGGTCAGTCGCTCTGCGGAACAGCACCACTTCACCACCAATGAGTGGGCCTCCATGCGAGACCTGTGTGCCATGTTGCGCTGTTTCTAGGACTCCACCAACATGGCCAGTGCCGCTGACGCCGTTCTCAGTCTTACTATCCCGCTTCTATGTCTCCTTGAAAAAACGCTTAAGAAGAGGATGTGGCGGAGGAGGAAGAGGGGTAATTTCCATGGTTATCAGGCCAGTCATTCACAAGTGGCTCGGAGGGTGGGTTCCTGCACCAGCATAGGCCAGGTACACAATTGTCCAGCATCTCCACACTGTCCCATGGAAGCGTTCAGCTGTCCATCTCCCAAACACTGGAGAGAAAGAGGAAGTATCCCCCTACCCACCCACGATCTCTGGCCCTGAATGCCAGCATTTCAAAATTCCTGGCCTTTGAAATGTTGTCATTCCATCTAGTGGAGACGGACAGTTTTAAAAACCTGATGGTGTTATTGGACTGCAAGAAATGCGCCGCAGGCCGCAAATGTTTCTTTTTTTATATGCCCCAATATTTTGGGGGCTACCCCAATAAAAAAAAAAAAAACTGTGTTGACTACCTCCTCCACCGCCGCTTCCACCTACACCGCCATGGTCACCGCCTCCTCAACCTATGGGTCACTTAGTATAAACTATGTACACACTAGCAGAGGCTTGTGAAGGCCTTTTCTCCATGCATCACCCCAATTAAAAAAAAAATAATAATAAAAAATAAAAAAAAACAGTGTTGACCAGCTCCTCCTCCTCCTCCACCGCCGCTTCCACCTACACTGCTACGGTCACCGCCTCCTCAACCTATTAGCAGAGGCTTGTGAAGGCTTTTTCTCCATGCATCAGAAGTTGAACATTTCTCCATGCATCAGGACTGCAAGAAATGCACCGCAGGCCGCAAATGTTTTTTTTTTATATGTCCCAATATTTTGGGGGCTACCCCAATTAAAAAAAATATATATATATATATAAAAAACAGTGTTGGCTACCTCCTCCTCCTCCACCGCTGCTTCCACCTACACCACCACGGACACCGCCTCCTCAACCTATGGGTCACTTAGTATAAACTATGTACACACTAGCAGAGGCTTGTGAAGGCCTTTTCTCCATGCATCATGAGTTGAACATTTCTCCATGCATCAGGACTGCAAGAAATGCACCGCAGGCCGCAAATATTTCTTTTTTTATATGTCCCAATATTTTGGGGGCTACCCCAATTAAAAAAATAATAATAATAAAAAATAAAAAAAAACAGTGTTGACTACCTCCTCCTCCTCCACCGCCGCTTCCACCTACACTGCTACGGTCACCGCCTCCTCAACCTATGGGTCACTTAGTATAAACTATGTACACAATAGCAGATGCTTGTGAAGGCCTTTTCTCCATGCATCAGGAGTTGAGCTCAGTTTGAACAATGAAAGAGAATACCCTGCACTCCAACCGTCTCTCAAATGTATAATTCTGGTGATCCTCCTGACAGCCATGCTTTAGATTTTGATTTATATTCTTCCAAAGCTAAAATCAAAGATTCCATCTAGTGCTATTTTATGGCTCATCTGTATTTTTAATTTTTATGTTTTTTTAAGTGATTTCCCTATCCACATTTGTTTGCAGGGCACTTGTCCTACTCTTACCCCCATTTTACTTCCTTTTGCAGCCCTTTAGCCCTTTCCAGGACTTTTTTAGAGCCATTTTAGTTGCAAAAGTTTGGGTCCCCATTGACTTCAATAGGGTTGGGATTCAGGGTCAAGTTAGATCCCGAACCCGGACTTTTTTCCGAAGTTTGGCCGAACCCGTCGGACCCGAACATCCAGGTGTCTGCTCACCTCTAATTTTTACACATTTTTACTGTTCCCACATGGGTCTTCGTAACCCCCACGTTTTGCTTCTACCAGCATGTGTCCCAAGACAAGGAAGCCAAAGCTGAAAAAGTCTCAGCAATTGACGAATATCCTAGATATCTTCCTACTATCACATGAGTGACTCACACCCAAGATGGCCACCTATATGGAATATTGTTTTGACTCCTCAGAAGAGATACCCCTGAAAGATGAAGATTAAGCTTCTACTTGAACCAATAAGTGTCCCACAGAAGCAGACGCCATGACTGTTACAACAGCTGTCCTAAATGAGCTTCTGGCGAATTTGCAGATAAATATTTCAGCAGATGCAACTAAGCTCCAGGGAGACCTGTAAGGCTTGGTGGTGCTTTAGAGGAGGCGTCAGGTAACCAAGTAAAATACTTACCTTGAAAAATTGGCCCAGGATGTACAGCAAGCTCAGGGACTTTGGACCTTGCACTGGACTCACTTGAGCATCAAATCAGATACTCCACCAATTTTCAACAATCATAACGTCTGGCAGACGCAGCAGAAATTACCCCATTAACACCTTGAACATCTACCAGATCCATGTACAGCAGTAACTACCCGATGTTCAATTTTAGACTCACTTGTATCCATTTGTTCCCACTGTCACTACTTTGAAATTTGTGCTGACTGATCCTTTGTTCTGTTTATTCTTCTTTTTGTTTCTTATGCTTTTATTTTTTAATTTTTGGCTCAGGCAGTTGCCTATTTGCTCTCCACACCCATACCCACTTTATAGCCTATATCACTCCTAATTAAATGAGGCAAATTTTACCTTCCTTTTTTTACCTCCATTTGAGTAATGTCGGTGCGCTCCCTCATTGATAGTTATTTTCTCTCCTTTTTGAGGCATGTTTCTATGATCTACTAATATATTCACCAATATGTGTGTTGATTATTCCCTATAACTCCAAAATCTTTAATCCACCACTCATATTTTTATACAATTGTCTATTTATATTTTTTATATTATCTGGTAGTACATCATGTATTAAAGCCATATGCTTAAATAATTGCTGTCATTAGCTATTAAGGATATCTGGATATTTACCAGATATATCAGCTAGTTCTACTAAGATTACACAAGTCAGAACTCCTTTTGAAAGCTCACTGAATATGCTTGTACTTGCTAGGGCAGTGACTCAATCTAAATTGGAATTGCGAAGTATCGGGAAAGCACGACAAGGCAATCATGATTTTAGAGAACTTCATAATGTCCCACATATTTATACTACACTCATCAGATGTTTTTAAACCCTTGATGAACAATGTTTTCCGACATTCAGTACATAACACTAAAATAAAAAAGTTTTTGCAAAAATGGGGGGGAGGGGAATTCACAGTTTTGCTCACAATTGCATCTATACACTAGTGAAAAATAGCTTAAAATATATTCACTTATTATTCCCGTTTGTGAAATTACCCCATATATTTGGATTTATGTTCATTTTTGGAAACAAAAAGTCAAACATTGTAAAGAGTGAATTCAGTATTAAGGTTTACATTGCCAAATTTGCTCTGCTGAGACAATAACTTTAAAAGGACACTATAGTCACCAGAACAACTACTACTACAGCCTGTTCCTGTAGACATTTAAATGTAAACGCTGCCTGTGACGGAACGCTGGCACTCCGACTGAGTACCTCCGCCAATCGATGCTCCTAGTGCTCGCTGAGGACTCCAAGCACTCCAACCGACACCATCAGCACTGCAGACCCCACTTCCAGCGATGCAACTGCGCCGGGATCTCTGCTGTCTTCACCCACCCTGGACCCAAGGCCAGGATCCAGCTTCCAGTGGGTGAACCTCTCTTTCCCCAGAGAGCAGGAACAGGTACAAGCTCTTAGCAGAACTTAGTGATCATACCCTGGGGCGTATAGTGATTATAGCAATCCCCAGAGTGTATTTCTCCAATCCCCCAAACATGAGCCAAGGCTTAATGCTGGAACAAGACTGATTTACTGGCACACAGAACTCACAATTTATGCAACACAAAACTCCTCCTCTGGGCCAAGCTAGATAATTGAGTTTCTACAATACACAAAGCTCAATTATCTGCTGGCCAGAAATAATACAGTTTAATAAAACACACAGGGACCCCAAAACATGCAATAACCCCATATAAAGTATATCCTTGGAACCGGGGGATCTGGGTGAACCACATATCCAAAATTCACCCAGATCCGTTCAGTACTTTGGAAAATACAGTTTAATGCAGATTCTGCAGAACATATACAGGCTAAATGAAAAACAATCACTTTATAATGTGTCCCCTGCTGTATAGTCCAAAACCACTGCACGATGTCTCTGTGCACCAAATACTGGCGAGATGGCACCGTGTTGAAAAGTCCAAACAGTGTCTGTGAGTTAAAATGGCCGCCATCCATTGTTCTCACCATGTGCTTCTGATACAGGAAATGGTGGCCACCCAGTAACTCCACAGTATGTCCCCAGATGGTTCTTAAAGGGCCAGCAGCAGCACAACACAAATCCATTATGCCCAAATCATGTCTTTAAAGGGCAATACATCCCAGGGGCCATAGTCACAGGGCAAGAGGCGGGCAAGCAGTCCTCTCCAGGCACAAGTGGCGAAGGGCACTTCGTCACACTGCCTTTTCCAAAAAAGGGAGTGTTTACATTACTACTTAGGAACAGCTCTAGTGGCAGTAACTTAGATGGCCACAAGAGGTGCCTTCTAGTTCAGTGCTGCACAGTGTGTTCAGTGTCTCCACACTCTGTATGGAGATGCTGAACATTCCTCAAAGTTTTCTATAGAAACATTCAGGATTCTCCCACTAGTCTACAAGCAAAACATCAAGGGCAGAGGGGACATTTCATTAGAAGTATATTATCACTATTCTTACTATTATTATTGTATCTGTCT